CCTGCCACACGCAGAGCCCGGCCCCGCCCTCACCTGCCACACGCAGAGCCCGGCCCTGCCCTCACCTAGTACATGCACATCCCAGCCCCACCCTGCACCTCCCACACGCAGAACCCGGCCGCGCCCTGCACCTACCACACACACAGCCCAGCCATGCCCTGCAAGATGCTGGCTCCAGAGTCTGCAGCAGGGCCTGGCCAGGGTGTCTCTCCCAGCACAGACCACGCGGTGCCTCCTTGCTCCAGGTCTGAGCGAGACTTGCCGATGGGGGCTGTGCTGAGGGAACCTTCACAGGGAGGAGGCACTGGAGGTGCACAGGATGGAGGGACCACCTTAGGGACAGGGACCAGGGAGACAGCCAAGGGAACTGAGGCTAGAAGTCAGGGGCCAGGGGTGCAGGAGGACGGAACTGCAGAAGCAGAGCCTGGGAAGTGAGGCTACGAAGCGATGTGGTTGGGGTGTGGACATGGACAGGGGGACGGGCAGGTGGAGTGAGGTACCTTGTGGCCTTTGGCAGCCCAGGGCACAGCCCGCAAGGAGATGGGTGACCTCAGCGTGAGGGCAGGTGAAAGCACAGGGGTCATGAGGGCTGAGGGCGGGCCACCGTCCCCAGGATCGGGTAGAAACACCATAAGTGGGGGCAAACTCAGTGCAATAGGCTGCCCTCAACGGGGCTCCTGGGAAGAGCGGGCCGGGGGCCACCGAGCGCCCGCTCACTGATGCCCAGAATGAGTCCTGTGCAGATCGCAGCCCATCACACTGGGCTCTGAACCGACTCCACACGGCCAGGTGGACACAGGACACGTGCGCCTCGGGGACGAAGGCCTGCCAGTCCTCTGAGGAGGGGCAGCGCGGGTGGATGCTCCGACAGGAGCCCTGATGCGCACCGAGGACCCGACAGCCAGTGCTGGCCGCACCGTACTGGAGCCGGGAGGATGAGGGTATGTACTGATTCGCCGCAGACCAGAGAATTCTCAAACGACCTTCTTTTTAAAGAGCAGACAAGCAGTATGGGACTGAAGGGAAGGCTCTCAGCTGCCCTCAGCAGGGTGGCCACGTGAAGGGAGGACGCCAGGTTGGCAATGGAGTCACTCATCACTTGGAGACGTGTCCAAGTTCTTTAGTCCTGGCTGCTGATTCTATTTTAGTTGCTCTCAATCCTAATGAATTTCAGTTTGGACAAGGAAACCGGCTGGGCTGTAAACAAAAGGTGGGCGGGCAGGTTTACCCCAGCTTCCTCCCAGCTGCGCTGACCCTCGGGGGGCTGCGGCCACGGCTGGTTGGTTCCTGCAGGGCCACCCCAGGTGCGCTGCCCATCCGCCCCCCTAGTTCCCATCCGGACCAGTGACCGGGAGACAGGTCAGGTGCTTGCTTCTGGCACCTAGTCTCCCTCCTTATTTTCATCGACGACTGGAGGGGTGGGTGGGAAACAACCAGAGACAATTCCAAAACTCAAACATCAGGTTACACGAGTGCACGTGTCTCCAGCCTCATCGAGGGTACCCTTAAGCTTTGTGTATTTCACGCTATGTAAACTAAACTCCAACAGGAAAACGAAAACAAAATGAATGTAAAAACCAAACAAAAAGTATAACAGATAAAGGGCCTAACCTACTTGCCATTTTCAACCTCTTCAAATGAATCAGGCTTTTCTATACATTTTTTTATGATTTCGTGTTTCTTTTATTAAAACCTCAACCAAATACAAAAACAAAAATTTAAACTTTCTACAAGAAATTTAAATTCTCGTTTTCTTTGCCCCAGACAGTGAAAGCAGGCTTACCCATCCCTAAGTTTCCTAAACTCCTGGACACACCGCCAAGGTTCTTCAAGGTTGTTTCTGCTTTGACGGAAATGTTTGCACCTGGCTGCAAAGCAGCCCTGCAGGAAGTAAACGAGAGCCCAGAGAGGCATTCTGGGAGTTGTAGTTCCACATAAAAGACCATTCCTCCGAAAAGTGGAAGACGGCACAGGGCAAGGTTGCAGATGAGAGCTTGGAAGCAGCCTTGGAGGCGATCAAGCTGAGTTTTGTGCCCGAGGAGCGGGCCTGAGAGGGAGGCGCCTCGTCGAGAAGCCCAGAGGCTGGCAGCTCTCACCACCACAGCACAGGGACCACGAATGACAATGGCCCAGAAGAGTCACTCTGAAAACCCCTGACAGCAGCCCTCAGGGTGGAGGCCGGGACCATCTCTGGGCAAACCTGGGACCCATGCAGGACAGAGCAGATGGGTACGGTGACCCGGGGACACGGTGACCTGGGGACGGGGCCCTTCTTGTGTGTCCCCCCCGGAGGCATTTCATATTGGTGGCAGCTGTGTTTCCCTCGTCACGTGCCCGGCACACACGAGGACATACTAACTGCACGCGTGGCTGGGTGTGAGAGGGCCCAAGCTGCTGGCGGTGTGTCGGCTGTCCCAGGCAGGGGCGGGCTGGGGAGGCAGTGCCTGGCCCCGGCATCCCTGGGGGCCCCCGGCACAGTGCGCTTGGCGGGAAGCTAGCTCTCTGAAGGGGACAGCAAGGCCCTTATTCATCAACCACAAAACAGGAAGGCGCACAGGCACAAGGGGGAGAACGATGGACAGAAAACACAGGCAAAGGTTTCTAGAAAATATCTGACCAGATAATGGCTTATTCCGTTTCTTCTCACAAGTTCCCAGTGGGGGTGGGAGGCTCAGAGGTCGCTTGTTTACAGTGCACGTAATACGGGAACACGCTGCAAAAAAGCCCCACAGAAGGGCCGATGTTCCCCACTCCCCGCCCCGGGGAGGATGCTCGACACACAGCCGCTCGTGGGTCTGCGCGAGGGAAGCAGGGTGCTGGGAGGAGGACCCTGATGGCTCTTTTGGGGCCCCTATAGAGGCTCCATCTAAGGCGCGGCCGCGTAGCTCCCAGACAACTTTCACAAATGTGAACCAGACACCCAACACCGGCAGAAAGAAGGGCCAAGGTTTAGAAACCAACATGCAAGACTGAGAAAACAGAGGAGAAAACTCCCAGAACACCCTCAACAGCATCCAGAGACAAAGGACGACGAGAAGGTGAGAAGGAGTCCTCAGGCATCACAGCCTCCTCTGAGAATAAAAGAATATCAGAGGAGGAGGAAGCGGAATTGGTAGATCAGGCTTAAAAGATACCTGATCAAACTCAAAATCCATTCCTGCCTTTAAAAAGATTCAACACATTAAGAATAAAACATTTCCCTAGCCCAAAAGGAAACGTTTATCATCAAGACCCTTGGGGCAAATCCACAGACTACATGGGTCGGACCGGACTGAAAACAACACCACAGTGAATACCAGACTCAGGAAAGAGGACGGTGTTGCTTCGTGAGCTTGTCGTGGCTCTAAGACAAGAACAAGACATAAAGGAGACCAGAATGACGATTATTTGCAGATATTATAAATGATCGATTACTTAGACAATCCACAGACTCAGCTGAAAAACTATCAGAATTGATGAGTGAAATTGAAAAGATGGCTTGTTGTTAAACTGGGCAGCTCACCTACATATCAGCAACAATCAAACTAAAAACAACGGGGCGGGGTGCTCCTGTTTCAGCTCCAATACGTAAAGAACTTGCAAGTCATCACTCCCCCCCTCAAAACAAGAAAGCAGCTGAACAAATTGAAAATCAAAGACTTTGCTCGGACCCATCACAGAACTGAGGTCTAGAAACAGTTGAACGCAGAACCACAGCCTCGATCAGCTCACTGGGGGCAGAAGCCCACGAGTCACAGACTGGAAGGAGCGCTTAAGGGTAAAGCTGGAGGCCGACAATGGACCAGCGTGAGCGTGAGACTCTCTGGGCAGCTGCAGTCTTAGGGGCCCCCACACTTCGTGGGTTTCACCTCCAGGTCTCACGGTGAGGAGCCAAGAAAAACATCACCTCCTGTCTCAGGCAGAAAACCAAACCCGCTGCCGTCAAGTCGATTCCGACTCACAGCAACCCTATAGAACAGAGTAGGGTTTCCAAGGCTGTAAATCTTTATGGAAGCCAACTCCACATCCTTCTCCTGTGGAGCAGCTGGTGGATTCAAGCTGCCGACCTCTCGGTTAGCAGCAGAGTACTTCACCACTGTGGGACCAGGGCTCCCTGTCTCAGGCAGAGAGAGGGAGAATTAACCATTTTGAAATCCTCCTGGAGCATTCTCCAAAACAAAGCCCTCCTCTCCTTGGAGAAGACTTTGTCAGAGCCTCGTCTCAGCTGGAGGAAGAGCATACCCCACCCCCAGACCCCTCTAGCCTTCCAGTCTCACCCAAGGAAGGAGAAAATAGGAAGAAACACTTGTGAAGGTCACTGACCAGGGTCACAGGCCCACTAAAAACTGAAATTTAATCATAAGATCATAAAACGCTTCCCCTCCTCCACGCCTTACCACAGCACCAACAGGGTTCCAGTAAAATAACAGTGGAATCCCAAGGAAGAGCTGCAAGGCACAGACTCCATCTAAGGAGGAAGCCCAAAGACAACCAGGGAGACAAAACACATACTAGAGGAACTCAAAGCCCCCGGCACCTCAGGAAACATGAAACAGCCCAACTGCTAGCCAGATTAACTCAAAACCTCCCACTAAAGGCCCATTTCCTCAGTTCCTTTTACCTGACACATAATGCCTGAATTTCAACAAAACATTACAAGGCATCCTAAAAGGCAAAAAACAAAAAACAAAAGTCTTAAGAGGCCAAGCAAGCATAGAACCCGATTCAGATACGATGCAGAGTTTAGAATCATCGGACCAGGAATTTAAGACAACTGAGTCGGAATCGACCCGATGGCAATGCGTTTGGTTTTTTTGGTTTGGTATGATAGTATGTTGGAGCCCTGGTGGCGCAGTGGTTAAGAGCTCAGCTGCTAACCAAAAGGTCGGCAATTTGAATCCACCAGCTGTTCCTTAGAAACCCTATGGGGCATTCTACTCTGTCCTATAGGGTCACTATGAGTTGGAATCAACTCCACGGCAATGGGTTCATGACCGTATGTTAAGGGCTCTAATGGGAAACAGTGTGTACTACTGTGGTGGCTGGCAGCTATGCCACTGGTATTTCAAATACCAGAAAGGTCACCCATAGTGGACAGGTTTCAGTGGAGCTTCCAGACTAAGACACGCTAGGAAGAAAGGCCTGGTGGTCTACCTTTGAAAATTAGCCAATGAAAACCCTATAGATCACAAAAGACTATGATCCTATAGACTGTTAGAGGACGTGCCCCTTAGGTCGGAAGGCACTCAAAATACACTACAACTGCAACAATGGACTCCAGCATGCCAATGATCACCAAGACGGTACAGGACCAGGGAGTGCTATGTTCTGTTCATACATGGGGTTACCATGGGTTGGAGCCGACTCAATGGCAACTAACAAGAGAGAAATGCAATCATATAAAAATGCCGCAGATGGCAGGGGAAAAAAAGGGAAGAAAACAAAAGAAACAACGAAAAAAACATGTGCAAAGAACAGAGAACAGTTAAAACATGATAGATATTAATCCAACTATATCAATAATCAATTTAAACGTTGCAGTGCTTTTATGTGGCCTGTCTTGCCATGGTCTTGTAACTCCCACCCAAGTGATTGGGTGGGACTGTGCAAATAAGGTAATTGTGGCCCACCAAGGGGATTGGTCAGTTTTGCCATGTCCCTGGGCTTGAAATGAGCCATCCCAGTGGTAGGAAAGGGAGGATCCCACCACCACCACCAAGAGTGGAACATGTCATTTGGGCCTGGGATCCCTGTGTGGAGAAGCCCCTGGAACCAGGAGACCCAGAGTGACAGAGACAGAGAGAGAGACAGCGTGAAAGAGAGAGAGAGAGAGACAGCATGAAGAGAGAGAGAGAGAGACAGCGTGAAGAGAGAGCTGTAACACGAGATGGTGAAAAGCAGTGGCACAGACATGGCAGCAGGAGAGACTGGCAGGAGATGGCGCAGTGGGCTGCCTGGCCCACAGAGCACGGAAGCTGAGTGCCGTTGGGCTGAGGCTTACTGGCACAGTGGAGTGCCTCTGGGCACTTACTGACAGGGCTAAAGTAGCTTTGTTAACACTGGCCCGAGCAAGGTTGAGGCCAAGAGGCCAGAGAGAGGTGAGCCTGTGAACATGGCTGGGAAGAGGCTGTCCTGATGGAAGAAACTGTATCCTGAGCGTTTCTGAACCTGAATTGTAACCTGTTACTTCCCTAATAAACCCCATGATCGTGAGAATTGTCTGTGAGTTCTGTGTGGTCACTGCAATGAATTACCGAACCCAGCAGAGAAGAAGAGAGTGCCGTAGGAAGGACGGTTGGTGTCAGAGTCGGTAAAGACGGCGGACAGAGGAGGCATGTCTGACCTCCACCTCACAGGAATCAGCCTTAGGCTGTTGAACTTGATTCTCCTTTCCCCTCGTGAAGTTAGAGGTCAGACACCACCCCATACGCCATTTTTAGAAATGTGAATGATCTAAGTATGCCAATTAACAGACAGATTGTCAGTATGGATAAAAAAACAAGACCCAAATATATACTGTCTACAAGAATCCTATTTTAAATAGAAATAACACAGATAGACTAAAAGTAAAGAGATGTAAAAAGAAATACCAGGCTAATACTAATAAAAAGAAAGCTGGATCAGCCATATTAATTTCAGACAAAGCAGACTTCAAAACAAGGAAAATTACTTGGGGTAAAGAGGGTCACAGCACAATGACAAAGGATTCGATTCAACTCCTCAGGAAGACATAACAGTCCTTAACATGTATGAAGCTAACAAGAGGGAGTCAAAATACAGGAGGTAAAGAAAGACTGACGGAATAACCACAAGGAGAAACAGATACAACCACTATTACAGAGACTTCAACACCCCACCGTAATAAGTGATAGATCAAGAAGGCAG